CCTTAACCTGGCTGATGTCCTTAAAGGACCCTGACTCGAAGTTAACGCGCTGGCGTCTTCGATTAGCGGAGTATGACTACTCTATAGTCTACAAAAAAGGCAAACAGAATACGAACGCCGATGCCTTATCAAGAGCCAAGATTTTCCATAATAGCATCGAATCTCTCGTTGTTAATTTTGATGACAACGAAAACGATGACATGATTAACCAGATCTTCGATAATGCCCGTAGAGAAGCAGAGAACATGCCTAATAATCCAAACCAACCCCTAGCTCCTGTAGGCGACTCTGGTACCCACATGAATCAAGATGATGCCCCCATTGTGCTACCAATCACTGCTGAATCTGAAACCGTGAGCACAACTTCTGCTGGACCAAGCCAGCTAATATCTACCAATCATACACAGGCAGACAATGAAAACCAGGGTATACCCATCGTCACTGATGCTATCGACAGACAATTGAAACAGTTTTACATCCGTTCCACACCAGGTTCAGAGTACAGAGTAGACGATAGGTCCACCAATGCTAGAGTAGTGATAAAAGACGTTTTCATACCTGTCAACAACACCGAGCCAGAAATAGTTCGCTTCCTCAAAGAACACACGATAGCAGACCGCACTTTCTATTGCTTCTTTCACAGTGAAGATCTCTATTTAGCATTTTCTAGAATCTATACTACCGTATTTAATGAACGAGGTCCTAAATTATTTAGATGTACTGCTCGTGTCACCCTCGTGGAAAATAAAACAGAACAAACAGAGATTATTAAGAAATTCCACGAAGGTAAACGGATACATAGAGGTATCCAAGAAACCTACAAACAAATTCAAAAACACTACCATTGGCCTAACATGTTACTTACGGTCCAGGCGTATGTCAATAAATGCGAGGTGTGTCTACAGGGAAAATACGAAAGAAACCCCTTACGTCCGCCCTTAGCCGTAACAGAAACACCAACGAAACCAATGGAGCACCTTTTTATGGACCTGTATTCCACTGGAGGTGCTACCTTTTTGACCATCATCGACAACTTCTCAAAATTTGCCCAGGCGATCCCATTAACCGCTTCTAGCAGTATACACGTCGCTGATGCTCTGCTACAACACTTTTCCATACTAGGCTTACCTATCAAGGTAACTACAGATTCAGACTCTAAGTTCGACAATGACGTCATTAGAGAAATCTGTGCGTCACACAATATCCTCATTCATTTTACTACCCCTTACAACCCAAATTCAAACTCACCAATCGAACGATTCCATTCGACAATTTCAGAAATCATACGTTTACAGAGACTCACTAACAAAGATGATACTATACAGACCCTCATGAAATACTCCTTGATAGCCTATAACAACTCTATTCATTCAACGACCGGTTATACACCTCGCGAACTATTATTTGGCCACACGGAATCTAGGAACCCATTGGAAATTTACTACCCTAGAGAGTTTTATCAAGATTATGTCCTTAAACACCACGCTAATGCCATAGCAGTACAGGAGTGTGTAACCGCCAATATGTCATCAAACAAGAAACAAATAATCACCAAACGTAACCAGCACGCCGAAGCGATCCAATTCAAGGTAGGTGAGACCGTTTTTAAACAGGTGGCGAAGACAGCGAAGAACGATAAAACGAAACCAGTATTTAAAGGTCCGTATAAAATCATCCATTTGCACCCCAATAACGTGGCTGAAATCATAGGCAGTCACCCTAACGCTAAGTCAATACGCGTACACTTTAGACTACTTAGGAGACCCCATCTTGTTACAGGTCAACTTTCGCAGGAACCTTCTGGTTCTTCGCAGCAGCCACCATGACCATAACCAAAGTAGATTCATCTTCCGGTGCCTTTTTGCTTAAAGAAGGAAAAATCCTAAAACAAGTAGAAACTTTCAATTTGGTTTGTGTATATAATATATCAGATATTCATGTAGCTTCTCTTAAATTGTTGGAACTATTTATACGAACTAAGGCTTTCGAAACTCATACGACACATGAAGCTCAACATCATTCATATAAGGAGCAAATAACTCATACATTTAGCTTAATTGACGATAAAATGTTGTTTCTATCACCTCATAGCAGAGTCAAGCGTGGCCTTATCAACGGGTTAGGCTCAGTAGTCAAAGCCATAACAGGCAACCTCGACAACGACGACGCTGTGAAAATAGAACAAGAAATTTACAAGTTAAAACACAACATTGCCGACTTATCCACTCGGCAGAAACACTCTGTCGTCCTAGCAGAGAAAACTATCTCTGATTTTAATAAGCACTTGCAAGCGGTCGTTAATAATCAAATAAAACTAGAAGCCGCGCTGCTGAATACTACCACTAGCTCCAAAGCGACCCTTACGCAGATACATTTTTTAAATATATATGTTCAATTAGATTTTAGCCTGCAAATTATTTTAGACACACTGATGCTTTTAGAAGACGCTATCACTTTCTCCCAGTTAGGAGTTATGCACCCTAGTATCATTAAACCCCAAAATTTAGTACATGAAATGCTGCAATTACAACATAACTATTCTTTGATACCTATTACAAATATTAACATCAATAACATCCATCAAATAGAGCGATCTATAGAGGTTAAGGCGTATAGTACAGCACAGACTCTGACTTTCATTTTGGATATCCCATCTGTCGCCACTCAGGCATATGATCTAATCCACATATATTCCATTCCGAGCCCTCTAAACCTAACCGTTATTCCTAAGTCCAAATTCCTTGCACTTGGAAGCGAAGAGTACGCATACCTAGGTGGCAACTGCCGGCAGATCAATGATGCCCTCCAGCTCTGCAAGCAATTGGAGACGAAGAACATCAAGGAAACCAAGGATTGCATGCTGTCGCTCCTGAACCACGAAGAGGCGAACTGTACCTATGCCAGGATGAACTTGAAAAAAGGAAAATTTCAGAAGCTCACACCCACCAGCTGGCTGGTCATCTTACCAAGAGACGAACTTCTCAGATCAATCTGCAACGCTAGAACAGATTACAGACGACTTAATGGCGTTTACATTATCTCACTCTCGGAGCAGTGTCAAGTAAAAGTCATGAACAGAACCCTAACCTCACATAGTAGCGCCATAATCACGCATGATGTTATTCCACTACCACCGGAACTAATTTCAACCCCCGAGGATATTCATTACAATCTGCAACTGGAAGACATCAACTTGGACGATCTACATCAACTCATTAACAATGTAGCCGAGATGAAAATTGAGCCCGACATCGACAATTGGACAGCAATTGCTACTACCCCCAGCTGGCCTACCTTATTATAGTTATATGCCCTAGGCGCTGCTCTACTCTCCTGGAAACTCTACAGATATTTCAACAGAAAGCAGCAGTATCCAACTCAAACAACAGTCGTCACACCAGAGTCAACAACGCCCAAAGATGCTGGAAGCTGCGATGCACGCTTCTTTCTTAAGGAGGGAGGAGTTACCAGGACGTAACGCCTGGTTATTGCTGACGACGTACCTACGCATCTACATACACGTGCCGTTTTATTGCAAGATTGTCTATAATGCATTTCTGAATTACCAATTTGTTATTTTATTTATAGTCAGTCTCATTACAGCTCTTATTGAATAAACAACGTCTTTTTATAATTAAATTTACTTTTTAAAAACCTATTTTTCGATCGCCAATACATATCTCAGGTTGTGAGTAATTTTTAATATCTATACGTGAAGTGTGTGCCCCAAGAACTCTGACCCTCCTAACTATATACCTTTTAGTTCTGAATACAAGTGTGAAGACTACTGTTAAACAAACGTAAAAATCCCATAAAAACCCTTAAACAGGGCGAAAACTATTTACAAATATTTTTCGTAAATCGAGTTTTGTAACTATTTTATGGTAGTATTCATTTTGATTATTTTGACAAAATAAAGGTAACAAATGGATTCTAAAGGTGCCTACGATATTGTCGATCAACAACGAGAATTATAGACGTTTCGAGTTGTTTGGGAGTGCTCATTGATAGTGTGGCATTAATTTCTAAATCCAAGATGGTTGCCAAGAATTTTCAAAAATTAATTTTTGGTAATCTTTATGGAAATGGCATTTATATCTGAATACATGATGGCTGACACGACTTTTCGCATTTCTAAATACAAGGTGGCGGGCACGATTTCTCAGATAATGGCAAGTTGGGTATCGTTTTCGACATATTTAAGGGCGCTCATTACGAATATAGCACTTATTTGTAAATCTATATGGGTATCCTTATTGCATTTTTTTGCTCCCAAACAATTCGAAAACGTGTATAATTCTCGTTGTCGATCGACAGTGTCGAGTATACGTTATCGATTATATTAATACGTTCTGGTATTCTTTTTAATTTTTTTTTCTTCAGTTTGAACAAAATAAATGAAAGTAACGTTTCTTCGTCAGAATCCATCGTGTCTGAGTCGAAAGATAAAACATCACTAAAAATGTGGTCGCACTTCAGCAGCGCGACATCGACAGTCGCGCGGCCGCCGCGCGGCTGCAGCGCGGCTAACAGCGGCTAATTTGAACGCGCCCTTAAATCGATATTTTTTACTAATCGCTAAAGTCAACGTGAATGGTAGCTGTATTAATGTAGCCGCAGCAATTCGTAACCTTACCTAGATTTTTGATCAATTGATTTTACAGAACGGTTGGTTGGTCGGTACCGGCACGATCAAGGCACGATATTAATTTTGTTTGAATCGAGTTATTACATAAGCATTCCTTATATAGTCCGAGTTTGTCACATGCATAAATAATACACATTATATTATCATTTTTTGCATTTGAAGACCAACTTTTAGCAAAAATGATCACAATGACAACTACAAATTAGGAAGATATAGTAGGAATGGCAACCCTATATTCCTGGCAACGGTAGGCAAGATGATTTATAAACAAAAATGAGCTTAGAAAATGCCAATTATTCTATTGAATATTGAGATAAAAGTGTAATAAATTTGTAAATAATTGAACAGCACTATAGTTAAAACAGCGAGAGTAAAACGATTGTGTGCAGCCATGGCAGCGATAAATGTTCGCGATCAGAAACTTGAGCAGCAAGTAAGTACCTAGTACATTTTAGTAATTTTTTCAATAAAATCTTGAAATTTACTTGTTAAGTTGTTACAAAAGCTATTGTTCATTTCACTGCGCTTAAATTGTTGGAGAGTCATATATAATTGGATTTGTTTTAGCGTCAAATCATGGAACAGAAAATGAAACAAAAGAGGCAAAATTCTGGTCTTGTCCAAGCCAACGATCTCAGAGTAGGGTCCGCCAAAAGACCGATTTCAGGAAGCCGTTCCCGGGAGCTACACGGTAAGTATTGAATTAGCCATTTGTACTGTTGCTATGTACCCAATTTTGTCGATGTCTTCTCTAGTGAAGCATGATGTTTCAAAAGTGAAATTTTATTTTCGTTACGCGCATTTTTTTTTCTTTTCACAACAGGCTATGATGGTCCGATGCAATTTCTTATGTCTCCAGTCAATCCTGACCAAGTTATACCCCTCCAAACAAATAGAATATCAACTTATGACGGTAAGTGGCCCTTTTGAGCATGGTATTTATTTTGGTGATTCAGCTTAACTAAGAATTTATTGTATATTCTGTAATAATGTGCCTACTCATCATTTGAGGGCTTGGTGGTAAAACCAGTAACTAGTTAATTATAGTAATAGTTAGTATTTTGTAAATACTGCTGAATTCAAACTAAGTAAATTACAAACTGTGCAGGTATAGTCATGGTTTTTCCACTAAACCCTCAATATACACGGAGTTGGGTTTATGATGTCTTTATCAAAAAACTAAACAAAATGGTTATTTTCTAAAAGGAAATGCTTTCCAGAAATAGTTTCAAAAAATCTGCTTTTCAAAAAAATATAACTTCCCTTAGGCCTACAACTGGTTGAAGAAATATTCAGGCGCTCAATTTTCTCATAGAAATAACAACTGAATGTATATAGCATAAGATCCATTTTTCGAATACAATAAAGTCTTTTATTCTGTACTCAGTTACACATAAGTGCAATAACGTAACATATTTGCGGTAACGTAACGCTATAGACAAATACATATATACATAACTTGCCATGTGAGTCCGTGTCATTTTCATTATAATGTGGTTTCTATTAACCGTTTCCAAAACCTACATGAAAGCGTTTTTTCATTACATTGAAAGAAAGTGTTTCCTAAGCTTAGTCCTAATATACACATAATAACTTAAACTGTTTTAAGTTTAACGGTTTTTACTACAACAGTATTAGGGAACAATATGAGAAAGCATTTTTTATCATGATGTTACCACATGACCCAATAAACAATATGTAAATTAGTATATTTAGTATTAACAGCCAAATTGTTGCAACTTCACATTTTCATTGAATGAAGTGATAGGATGGCATACTAGATGTTGCCCAACAAACAGAAACCATGCAAATTATGGACTTTACTCATCGTCCAAGAGTCAACCTTCTCCACATACAGATCTAATCACAGTATTGAAGCAATTAGTGGTTAGGAATCAAAACCAACTCAGTGTTTGAAAATACCCCTCATCAAGGCCCTTAACAGAAATCGAACTGAAGACCTTTACCATCGGAAACAAGTAATCTACCAACTAGACTATCACTAACCAGTATTGAAAATATGTATAATAGTAGTCCCACAGCTATGCCACATGGAGGGAAAGTACTTTGAATACTGTAGATAGAAAATGTTACTGAAATAAGACTTCATTTTTATTTTGGAAACAATTCGAACTGCATTCAAAGACTTTTAAATAAGCCACTGTCTGAACCGGGAATGGAACCCGCCAAATGTGAAAAAAAAACCTGGAATTTTACTGTTACTGGTTAATTTGAAAATGTTAAATTTCATGGTCTTCCCTTTATTTAAGATGCTATGTTATTTAGAAGAAAACAATCCTTATGATTGAGACTTTCAACCACTATAGTAAAATTACAGGTTTTTTTTCACATTTGGCGGGTTCTATTGCCGGTTCAGTCAGGCGATTATCTAAAAATCTAAAAATCTTTGAATGCAGTTCGAATTATTTTTTAAATCAAAATTAGTTCTTTCAGTAAAATTTTCTATCTGCGGTATTTAAGGTACTTTCCTTCCGTGTGACATAGCCGTAGGATGCCTTGTTATGGATAATATTGCTGTTGATTGAATGCAAATGCATTGTGAAGTAAATAACAAAAGTTAAAGTTAAATTTACTTTAATTATTTCAATATGTACAAGATATTTACGCATTGTTCATGTAGAGTGAATAATTTACAATAAAAGATGATATACCTTTACACACAATAATTTCATTGAAGGAAAGTAATTACTTTCCTGTACTAACAAGAAATACGCCGATATCGTAGTGCCGAAATCCTAGTCTATCAATATTAGACACTTTTTAATTAAAACTTTTAATAATAGTTATTAATACACAGACCAAACAAAGAAAAATTCTTTCACCTGGATTTAAACCAGCGACGTAGCCATACCGTGGCTGACGCTCTCACAACTAAGCTACGGAATGAACCAGCAGACTACAGTTATAAGAAACTAGTGGAGTAATTTCACAAAATAGTAGTAATACATGATTATATTCAATAAACTTAATATTGAACAATATAATCATTGTTTAATGAATTTGGGTCTGTGTTGGATAATTATTATCACTGTCGCGTAATTTTATGTTTGGCAATGAACCACCTAAATTTTCAAAAGCTGTAACTCTGGATCTATGGATCTAAATTATACACTGTTTGCTTACAATTATAGGTAATTATACTGGGTATGATAAAGTAGTACTTCATTTTTGTCCAAATACAGTCACTCCTTCTAAAACCATGTTTTTTTTAATGGAGCAATGGTTCACGTTGCGTACCCCATGGTACTCATTGGACCGGGAGCTGGTACACAATGAACCATAGGCGCCACAATGGACATGATTATTACAATTATCAGCAAACTATTGTATTTTTATAAAAATTGTGAAACACAACGCGCTTTTTGCTTAAATTATTGAAAAAAATAAGTTTTTGGGCATCGAACAGAAATATTGAACATAATTGAATAAAAAGACAAACTTGTAAAAACATAATAATTAAATATAACGACAAAAAAACAACTTGAGTCTCACAAATTCAAAAAGAAGGTTTGTATTTCAACCGCACACTTACTTTGTGATTTTTCTTAATTATCTAGCAGTCAACATTTTCATGTTTAATTTATCACTAAGTGGTCATAGGTTCAGTGTGTACACCTTAAAAGTGGTTTATCCTGCACCACCCCATTCTTGTAAAATTTGAGATTATGTTGCAACGTGCCTAAAAACCCGTCGCTTATTTTAACTACCTCAATAAAAAGTACATTGATGGCTAATCTTTTAGATCTATGAACATGCTGTTACTGCTCATACGAGTCAAACGAAACGAAATTCTTCTCGCGTGTTGTTTTTAAGTTTTTTTGTTAAAAAATAAAAGACATCGACGCCCCCGGGCATCTGTGCTGCTAGCTCGCTGTAGACTAGGAAGAGAAAGGTGCCTATAGTAGAAACTCACATGGTGCGATTTGCACCAAATTCCAACATCGCGTTTCTGAGTTATTGGCGCGGTTCATAGTGTACACTTGGTTCACTGTCGACCACCCTGCTCTAGATAGATATACGAAAGACAATTTTGTCCTTCACTTTAAATATTTTTGTAAAATATTTTATACTAATTAATATGATAGGTAGAGGTAGAGGTCATATTGACTGTTCCCCATCAACTATAAAAAATTCTTTGCTTACTTTTCTTGACGACCTTGAGGTAGTACTGTGAGGGCCTTTATTCGACACGAATTTCATCGCGCTAAGGCCGCGCAGGCGCCGCGCGGGGTGCGAGGGCGAGCCTGGCTTGTCTTTGAACTACGCGACAACCGCGCGGCGACCGCCTCTCGACCGTGCCGTTGTATTGTTCAGAAGGATTTAAATGTTGTTGCCTAGTAAATAGAATTCAGATTCACATGTAATGCATGTACGTGAAAGCGTGGTAACTGGGCGGTCATCTCTCGGCAGAGGCACGAAAACTTTCGCATCGTGTAACTGATCGCTGAAGGTTGGATGGGTAGGTATAGAGTTACATTCCCAGTACTGCCAATTTGAGAAATACTTTTTATTATATTGGTTTTGGTCTTATTTGGGGTATCGCAACAGGGAATTACTTAGTTTGAGACCAGAACATCTACTCCCGTCAAATAAAATACGCATGATGCGAATGAAGCTTCGTACTTTACATTATCGTTTGATTTGTTGTGAGTGCTAGTGTTAATTATTTGACGGTAATTGTTTCGGACGAATGTCGGACGTAGAACGGAAGTAATGGTAAGTAATGTGGTTATCTGGCTCTGTTCCTCTATAAAAGATTGCTTTTATTTGCAAGAGCTTTTTACTTATACTTATAGATGTAAATTAAACTCTTTGCCACTTATAATAGCAGTTGTGCAAAGCTCAAAGACAAAAACTGATTAAATGTAACCATATTATACACAAATGGGTAATTATGTATGTTTCCTTCCGTGGAAGCGTGCTTCACGTGTGTTCTAATTTAATATATCTATCAAAATCGATATTGTTCACGCTACAGTACTTAACAAGTTTATTTAGGCCGTAGCCGCGTGTAAATGGCTTTATGTAAATAGATATATATCGCGGATATTAGTTTTTTTTTCTTCTATGACCATCAATCGAAGTATTAGAGATATTAAACAAAGAAAGTAATAGTGACAGGATAGTAGTAGTAGAACAATTTAAGTAAATTGTTTCTGTAGTATTTACGATGGTAAAAGTGGTGTTGCCATCATAGTGTTTTTACCAACATAATTAAATGGCTTTTGGCCAGTTTTAATAACATGATCAATTATTAATTGTTGCGGCAAGTAAAGGGTTTTTCAACAAGAACTTTGTTTTGTAAACCAAAATACAACAATAAATTTAGATGACAATGATTCAAATTTTTATTGTATTAAAAAGGTATGGTTTGGCAATTATGAATGAAAAATGATATCTGATAAATGTCCACCACGACCACAGTTACAGATGTTCATGTTGAAGTCACACAGCCACCGAAACAATCGATTTATTGCAAACCAAATTTCCCGATCGCATAATTTCACGAAATTCAGCCGTTAAGTGGCCAGATCGATCGTGTGATTTAACACCGCTGGATCATGTTTTACGGGGTTAAGTTAAAGACAGAGTCTATACGGAGCCAATCGAATCGATTGCAGCCTTGAAACTCAAAATTCGTGATTAACTAAATAGACCCACTATTTTGCAAAAAAGTTATTAAAAACTTTGATGAAAAAATCGACATCTGTAACTGTGGTCGTGGTGGTCATTTATCGGATATCATTTTTCATTCATAATTGCCAAATCTTACTTTTTGTAATACAGTAAAAATTTAAATCATTGACATTTAAATTTATTGTTTTATTTTCATTTACAAGACAAAGTTCTTGTTGAAAAACTCTTTAAAATAAACGTATGGTAACGTAATGG